AGAGGAAGAAGACTCTGGTCCCGACTGGTTTCGCAACATGGATCCTGACACACTTGTTCCAATTAAAGATGATAATGTGAGTTACTCGATGTGAAAGTTGATAAATTAGCAGTGGATGGGATTTATTCCAATGTTTCGACCAAAGAAAAGCTTGGAAGAACGTTAACAAGATGATACGAGAGACCACACAGTCAAATAAATAAATATAGAAAGAAACAAAATTCCGCACATTTCTGTATATTTGTGTAGCCTTTCAAAATGTTCCTGTCCTGCATACCATGCAAAAGTATTTCAGAAAGCACTCGGCAGCGAAGCTTGTACGGCAGAGAACCACTTTGACCCTCTCCCGATTTCCGTAGGTGTTCCATGCGAGAAGACAAACGAGAGTAAGCCATCTGTCAAGTAAGGCTTTCATAAACGTTCTGTATTACTTGGCACAGTTTTGATTGTAGCTTTGAGCCACTCGTCATTTTTGGCCTGTTCATACTCTGCGACCCGGATCGCGCGACAAATCGTTCGAGCGACTCTGTCGCGCGATCACGAGTGGTGAGTGTTTTGATCGCGCGGTCAGATTACGGAGTATGAACGGCTCTTGAAGTTGCTACTACCTGCTCTGTCACTCGTTTTCCTGAATGATAACACCTATTTGCAGAGCATCACTCTCCCTTTCTCCATCGAAAACTCATCTTGATGGTGATATCGATCGGGCCTTCGATCTCAGAGCTGAGCACTTACTGTCATATCTCTGCTCTCGAGAGCGGTTACGTAACCTCAAGTAGGTTCCGGTATTTTTTACGTACATGGGGTAGCGCTCAGACTTTGAGGTACTGTGGAAACCGGGAAAAGACTTGATATGTAACGATTGACTCCGCCCGAAGAAAAAACCGGGTAGCTGAAGAATCGGATGCCGATACGTATCTAACTTACTTCACGGATTCTCCATTTTCTCCGAGTCTTCGTTGTCGCAAAGTCTGAATAGTAGAAGCTTTTTCCTTGAAGATTGCCGCTTTCTGTGGAAGTTCATTCAGATGGAAGTCAATCATTCTAAAGCTTGCCAAGGAGATAGCTCATACTGTAAAAATTGATGTGGCGAAGAGACGTGATAACATGAATATTGTGAATTATGTACATGTAAAGAAGCTCTACGTGGACTGCGAGGACCCACAAGCTGAGGTTGGCTCGTTTTCTTCACTCTTTGTTTACAACATCATTTCTTTTTCTTGCAGCTTGTGTGGGGTGTTGTATGCAGTAAAACTGTTTCACATGAGTCAATGGCGAAACCCCTGAGAGATGCGTCCGTTATGATTGTGGCAGGTTCCATAGAGTACGAAAGGGTACAAGGACGTTTGTTCTTTTTTGTTTTTTTCTGTTTTTTACATAATACGTATAGAGTACGAAAGGGTACAAGGACGTTTGTCTACCCTCGAACCTATTTTGAACCAGGAGGGAGAGTTCCTTTCAAAGCAGGTAATTAGATACCAATCGAGGTTTTACTTATAGAGTGGTATATTCACGCCCATGGTCCGTAACTTTTATACGATCAGGTGGAGCGAATACTGTCGCGGCGTCCTTCAATATTACTGGTAGAAGGCGGTGTGTCAAGACTGGCAGCAGATTTGTTACGTGATGCTGGTGTACGACTTGTAGTGAATGTGAGCCAGCGGTAAGTTTTGGTCTAACTATTGATTTAAAGGTAGTGGGCACGATTCCGGAGGGCGGTCGGATACCACCAATGTCATTGGTGGAAGGGCTGGGTGGGTGAGGCCAAATGACATTCGTAGCTCTTTCACTAATGACGTCGGCAGTATCAGCCCGCCCCAGCCATTAGGCCTTCAAAAGTTCCCACTGCCTTTTAAAGGCCTGATTTTCTGGAGTTAATTGTGCAGCGTATCAGCGTAGATGCTGCAGGATCAAGTAGCGACCCTTACCACATGAGCGGTCAACTGAGCAGGTCCCAAGGTCGGTTCTCGCTCTTCCCACCAGAGCCTTCCATCTCCTCGGATTCTGTAAATTAGTGAAAGTGAATTTTGTGAGTGGGAAAGTAAAAACTTGGCCTGTCCTCAGTTGGCTCACAAGTAATTGCGCAATGAATTTCGTTCATAGTGCGTCAACGGGACTGGGATACTTGGCGCATTCTGAAAGTTTTGATGGACGCTGAACACTTCTTGATCCTCGAATATCCAAGTTATTCCAGTGTGCTGCAACGAGTGGCACGCTCAACAGGAGCGGACATACTTCCCAGCTCTGACGCCCAGCTTATTCAACAAAATATTGGATTCTGTCCATATTTTGTTCAACAAACAGTCACTTTCAAAGATGGGCGCAATAAACACCTTCTGGTAGGCACTTGACTGTCATATTCCAACCCTTGTTGTACTAGTTCTTAGATAATATTGACCCAAGTGTTCACCTTCAGGTCCTTAACGAATGCCCTCCTGATCGAGGGTGTAGCGTGCTGCTGAAAGGTGCTGATCTACGGGAACTCAAGGCTGTTAAGGCAAGTTTTATACCACTTTTCTCGCTTTTTCAAGACGGTTCTCCTTTTTGTATTTGCTGATTGATATCGAGAAAGGGAATGCTTTTAGCGCATATTGCTATTTCTGATTTCAACCCTGTATTCATCTCGACTAGAAATCGCATTTTTAAACATGTTCAATATACGAATGGTGTATCAGACGTCCAACTGTGATGTCTGCGAAGCTCGAAGAGAAGCCATTGATCAGAATACGGAAAAGGTAATTGCTCTTGTTG